AAAAACAGGTTATAATTCAGGTGAGAGAAGATGGTGTGAATGAGGGTTGTTGTGGTGGAGTTGTTAGAAGGGGTCAGGTTCTGATTATGTTGATATTTTTAACATAGAACTAATAAGATTTCCTGAAGGAAGGAGAATTTATGGAGGGAAAGGTGGCAGAATTAAGAGATCTATTTTGGAAATGTGGACTTTGAGATGACGATTATCTTAGTGGAAATGTCAGATAAGTAGTTAGATATACAAGTGTGGAGTTCAGGAGAGTTTAGGGCTTGAGACACAGATTTGGGAGTTATTGGCAAGTAGATGTCTTTTAAAACCCAGAGGCTGGGTGGACTCACTGAGGAATGGAGATAGAGGAGAAGAGGCCAAGAACAGAGCCCTGGGTAGTCTAATATTTAGAGATCTGGTGGAGGAGGAAGAACTTCAAGAGGATTTAAAAGTGTGACTGGTCACACAGGAGGAAATCCAAGAGTGTGACATCATGGAAGCCAAGCGGAGACAATGCTGCAAAAAGAAGGAACTAGTCAACTTTGTTAATGCTGCTCAGAGGCTAAATAAGCTAAGAACAGGTCCATTAGTGTGGCAATGAGAGGTCTTTGTGGAGTAACAGAGGGAGAAGTACAGTTCGGTAAGTGAAATAAGGATATGAAGACCACATTTATAGATAATTGGAGTAGAGATGGAGGCCTTTAGGAAACTGGATCAGGTGAAGTGTTGTTTTGCTTTGTTTTGATTTATTTTAAGATAAGAGATAATAGTGGCTATGAAAATAATCCAGGAAAGACTCCTGAAATAGAGAAAAAAAGAGAATTGGAGGAGGGAAGCCTTGGAGAAGGTTAGAGAAATGGTTCTTTGCTAGGGTAGAGATGTTTAATTCATTGTGTTAGGAGGGATGGCAAAGATGTGGAATGTACATAGATGGGGAGATGAGACAACTTCTGCCTAATGGTTTATATTTTCCTCGAAGTATTTTCTAAATTTCATTAACTGAGAAAGGGTAAGCGACATGAGAAACTTGAAGGAAGAGAAGGCAGTGTGAAATAGCAAACATATAGGAAATGTAGTAGTATTATCAGAGCCCTTTTGAAATCTGTGGTCATAAATTTCAGGTGAGACCCATCCACAATTTTCAGATGCTTAGTGCAGGGGTGAGGTATTACAAATACTTTAACCACAGTTTTGAGTTTGCCAGACAAGTCGAATGAAAGGACAAGGTACAGGTGTTTTCCAGGGTGTGATATTAATGATAGACCATGGAATCTAAGCCAGATGAAGAAAGAAGGGAGGACATGGAGAGGGATAATGAGCTATGGAAATGATCAAAATATTAATTTCGAATCTATTTTCAAATGTCCCTAAAAATGTCACAAAATGAGGAAGGGAAAGATGGCATCAGATGTGTAATTTTTATATGGTACTTTATACCTTCAAGTACACTGAGAAAGACATTTTATAATATTTCTTTGACTTGAATCTGGAGGTGGGTTACTGTCAAGAACTGTGAAGGGTCTGAGGTTCTTAATACACTAGTCTGTTACTGTTTCATGGACGTCAACAAGGCATGAGAATCCTGGTTCAGAGACAAAAGATAGTATTCATGGCACAGCAAACACCGTGAGTATCGTGAGTATCAACTTATTTCTGTTGCTTCCCTTTTTCCCTTAGTCCCCACAGGGTGACATGATGGGCCCAGATGGATGCTATAGACATAGCCGGTTTGTGTCACAGCTGAGGAACAAGTTGCAAACGCTGTAGCACAGAGCAAACAAGCCAGCCTTCCTACGCCCAGAGAGTGAGCCATTACACTGAAGTCAAGCTGTGGTCACCTTGACCTACTTAATTGCCTATGGGACTAGCATTTGCCTGTGGATAAATCAGTCTTGCAGTTTGGCACACTCAGCAATAATATGCAGGACCCCTCTGGGCCCATGGTGAACTGTCTGTCCCAGTAGTTACACTACCTTCAAATGGGTAAAATGAGTCATGAACAAGGTTCATAGTTTACATTTCAATAATTTATTCTAAACATAAAATATTCCTTAACATACACATTTTCAACATATATTTTCAAAACTACTCCTATAAATATACCAATAAAAATTTCCAAGGTTGTCTCTGAAATGTGCAATAAGAAATACGAACAAAACCATGTGATGGTATATATAAAAATACTCTGGATTTCTCTAGGTTTAATTAAAATTGTTCATTATTTCCTAGAGGTGTTAGACCATAACGGTAAACTATATTCTAAACTGTATAGATCAATTTTTACATTTTTTTCCTCTAGAATTCTTTAAAAATATGATAGAAAAACTGAATATAAATCAGAAACTCAGTTGCATTAAAACCAGGAAGAATTAATAGGGAAGAACTTCCTTTCTTAATCAAAAAGCTTTCAGTCCTGTTAGACGCACTTGAAAACCCTTACTATCAAGAAAGGTATGAAATCTTTAGTGTTCCTGGAGGATATTTTGACACTCCAAAGGAGAAAATAAGCATGACTACATTTTTATGTTCCCTCTGTCCTTAGTCTCCAGCGGCTTGAGGGTGAGTGCTGATGAACGAGCTTTGCTGCTTATCCTTGGTTCAGGCATGTTTGCTTAAAGTCAGGGCACCAAAGAAATCCAGAAAAGGCTGTCGTTAATTCATCTGTCTTTAATTACCTCTCTATTCCAGCCTCTCCAGCGTCTGTTTTTCCTGGAATGTGCCAGAAACACATTCCCATCTCAAAGGCTGTGCCTGGGCTAGTTCTTCTGCAGGAAACATGCTATCTCCAGAGATCCTCATGGTTCAGTCCCTCTCTGCCTTCAGGTTTTCACTGAAATATCCCTCAATGGGGCCTACTCTGACCACCCTATCCACCAGGCCATCAATAACCAAAAGCCCGAATCCTGGATGTATATATTGCTACATTCGTTATATAGAATATTTACTATCTTTCAGTGTGAACTCCCCCCAACACCTTCTTGTTGTTTGACGAAAGTCATGTTTCATGGCCAGAAAAATGTTATTAAATTTTATGTCTTTAACTTGCAGTTCCCTTAAGGAGTAGATGTGAAGCTTCACACTTCTGACCCCTGGTCCACATGCCTGCAATTCCCAGGCATGAGGGCAACTCCTGGAACTCCTCACAAGGCCCCTGCAGCCCTGGCCCAGCTGGAGTGTGGGCGGCCGAGGTAAGGAGTGGGGGGGTGGGGCGTCCTGCAAAGTCAGCGGGGCTGAGGGACCCCGGTCTCTGCACTGAGCCATAGCACTGGCCTCCCAGCCCTGGGGAGGGGGGCCCAGAAGCAGCAGAAGCATTTTCCTGCTGCTTCTGGCAAGTGGCCACCCTATTTAAAATATGAACAACTACCTCCAACACCTCCCCAGCACTCACATCCTTTACCCTGCTTTATTTTTCCATTTAACACTTATCTCCTAAATATTCTATTTATTTATCAATATTTTATTATGATGTTATCAGTATGCTTCTGTTCCTTGCTGAACCCACAGTGCCTAAAAGTGTCTAACACAAAGTAGGTTCTTAATAAATATTTATTGAATGAGTGAAAGAGCAATCAAATACATTTCCATTAAAAAAGGAAATGTAGGGCTTCCTTGGTGGCGCAGTGGTTAAGAATCCGCCTGCCAATGCAGGGGACACGGGTTCGATCCCTGGTCCGGGAAGATGCCACATGCTGTGGAACAACAGAGTCATGCACCACAACTACTGAGCCTGCGCTCTAGAGCCCACAAGCCACAACCACTGAAGCCCCTGCACCTAGAGCCCGTGCTCCACAACAAGAGAAGCCACTGCGATGAGAAGCCTGAGCACCACAACGAAGAGTAGCCCCTGCTGTCCGCAACTAGAGAAAAGCCCACATGCAGCAACGAAGACCCAACACAGCCAAAAATAAATAAATAAAATAAATAAATTTATAAAAAAAGAAAAAAAAAAGGGAATGTAAACCTAAGGGCTGTTGTTGAATTTTGCAATAGGAATGCCCTAGTCAGTTGTGTCATGGTTTGAGGCACAGATTTTAAACTTTTTGAGGTGCCCTATGTAGAGCCTGAATGCATTGCTATCTTTCCCAGTGTCATGCCCTTTTAAAGTCTCTTTAGTCCAGTAGTCTGAAAGTGAGCACTTCAAATTAGGCCATGATGACCACGTGACTGATAATATTGAACTGGGGCTAGTGTGGCTGATGTTTAAATTTTATTTAAGTTTGATTAATTTAAATGGTCACATGTGGCTAGTACCTACCATATTGGACAGTGCTTGACTATGCCTGTGTTACAAGTTAGAGTGGGCAACATCTTTGTGTCTAAAAGTGATCCAGCCAAAGTTACTCTATTCCTTCAACCTCACAATGTTTCTGTTACTGTTCAGGAGAAAGATTCAAAAAAAATAAATTCAGAGGTGTAGGAGAGACAGCAGTTAGAAGTGTTTCAATTGTAGGAGAGGGCTGAAATTTTAGCATACAAAACTCTAGTGTACTGTAACCCTCTTTATTGCTCCTTTTTTTCACCTTTTTAAAATCTAAAAATATTCTCAAAAATCTTTCTACTTTTGGAATGTAATGTATAAGCATGTTTTACTCGACATATCCACCCTTCTTATTGTATATAAATGTTAATTCATAAAATTGGGACACAGTCCAAAGTTCATATAAATAACCTGCTGGCACAGATTAATAAAAATAATTACAACCAAATTTGGACAGAAGTAAAGATTTGACAAACTAAAGCAGGATGTAACTAATCTCTTAAGTGCTTTAAACTCTTAACGGAGAAGTCCTTTAACTTTTAGAAGTTGTCCTGTAGAGGAGGCTAACTTGACGTATGCTGGTTTGTCTTATGAGTTAAGACAAATCACAGACAGAGTAAAATAATAAATGTTAAAGCCTAGGGGGACTTCCTTGGTGGTGCCGTGGTTAAGAATCCGTCTGCCAATGCAGGGGACACGGGTTTGATCCCTGGTCCGGGAAGATCCCACGTGCCGCGGAGCAACTAAGCCCATGCACCACAACTACTGAGCCCACGTACAACTACTGAAGCCCACGCACCGTGGATCCCGTGCTCCACAACAAGAGAAGCCACCACGGTGAGACACCTGTGTACCGCAATGAAGAGTAGCGCCTACTCGCCGCAACTAGAGAAATCCCATGCGCAGCAACAAAGACCCAACACAGACAAAAATAAAATAAATTTTTAAAAAAAGTCTAGGGAATAAAGTTCTAATGTAATGATTATTAAAGTAGAGCTCAGTTAATGCTTCCTCTACAATATCACATTTTGCAGGTACTTTGTGAGTGTAGATAGAGCAATAGATACTAAATTGGTCAGCTAACTTGATATATGTTAAATGACACTAGGAAAGTAGTTCCTATTACTAAAATTGATTGAATTCCATTATGTTTTAATGTCTTCCTAATTTAAAGCTCTAAAACATAATACATCTTGTTAGATGCTCTTGACATACAGATACCTGCTGTACGTCGAACAACCCCATACTATTAATCAACTAGCCAACTTATCATTTCTGATTTTATAAAATTTTGTAAACTTTCAAACAGAACATGTAGCCTAAAAATGTTTAGATTATTTTAACCTAACTTCCACCATTTTACAGAACACACAATATTGCATGTGGGAATTTTCCATTGCCTGTGCCCCTGGAAGGGAGCAAAGCCACGGGTGATCTAAAACAGAGTTTTAAAGCTCTTTTAATGTTAACCCAAATCACTGGTATTGGACTTGGGATGCATTTTGTTTTTTAACCTCTTCATAACTGCATTTTGCTTAGACTGATATTAAATTATTTGTGGCCCAGAAGCTTGTCAAGTGTCAGAGCTAAGGGTGCGTGAAATTGAAAGTGGAAAATAAAATGACAGATAATTTAAAGTTTATCATTTAAAATATGCTTATCAACCCATCATCAGTAGTGTTCTCTATGAATTGTATACAGGAGGCTGCTGTCTCTTCAATGGATTTTGACCAGCCACCAAGATTTCCAGCAAAGTAAGGAAGGATGCTAGCAGAAATCTGGTTAAAGTAAGATACCTGTTTCAAAAAACAAAGCAAAACAAAACAATATTTTAATTTCTTACTGACTTGGAGCTTTTTCAAGCAGGGATCTCAATCTTGTTGGTGTAGGGGAGGCTATGACCCTAATCTTTTGGGAATGGATCTGAAAGGATGACCTTAGGATTCCCTGGTGGGTGTGGGTGGACACATTGCAGAATTAGAGTTAATTAGTAAATCCAGGTAAAAGGTTCCTCTGTATCTGTAGGAACAAATTAATCTGCAGATGTTTCATCAAACTTACGGTACATGAACTGCTGTCAATAGCACGGATGAGAAATCCAGCACTTATGATTTCACTTCTGCTGTACTGTGGAGAAGGTGGGACTGATGGCAGAATAACTGACCTCACTGCCACCGTGTAAGTGTGACTGAAAGATAACAGGACATTTTCAAAGTTCTTGAGAGAAACAAAGAATAGTTGTTAGAAAATAAATTCCTACAGTTAATGCAACTTGTTTATATAGTAGAAGTAAAACTATAGACACCCAGATCTTTTAGATGAGTGGTATACATAGGAAAACATTCTCTTTGGATACATTCAAGTATAGCAAATAATAATAAGGGCCATAGGTGTTTTCTGCCTAAGAATTACATATACTTTGTATAACTCCGCAAAGCTGCAGTCAACCTCCAAACTGGTTTTTTTTTTTTTGGTGCCCTAATGGGTTGTAATTTCAGTCTCTTCTTTTTTTAATGAAAAATAATACCATTGTTTTAAAGAACCTTCAAACAATAGAGAACCCTATACATTAGAAAATAGAAGTCATCCTTCAGTCCACCATAAGCACAATACATACTTATCCTAGAGATGACCACGTTATATTGTGATCCTCCAGATCTTTTTATAAATATATAACATTTATGTAAGCAAATGGACATATGTAGATTTTTACATAAATATAATCATTTTACAAATATTGGTCTATAATTTGATTTTTCACCTAATGGTAAAACTTTGGAGGTGTTTCTGTATCAATGCCTCTGTGACTACTTCATCCTTTTTAATGCTGGTATAGTGCTCTGTAGTATGGTTCTACCATAATTAATAAGATGGAGCTTCAGTTTATTTCTAATATCTTTTGCCATAGTAAATGATACTACACTGAACATCCATGTGCATTAATCCCACACGGGAGGGATTATTTCTATAGGCCAGCTTTGACATCAGAAATAATGCTGGCTAGTTCCAGGGGTAGACCATAACTGCCCTGGCAGCTTCCACCTCTTGTCCCTTTGAACACCTGCTCTTGGGACCCTTCCCCTTAGAACCTAGACACTATTCTCTGAGAAGCCCAATGCCCGTGGAGAAGCCATGAACAGACACTCTAATTGACAGCCAGCCATTTTGGGTGTCTAGCACAGTTGAGTCTTTGTAAATTCTGAACCAAAACCAATTCCTGGTATTTTATTTGGCTTTCACTGCATTTTTACAATAACGGAATATTTTGAAGGTTTGCTAAATATCCGTTTTACATCTGCATAGAGCAAAAGGAAAGGGAACTGCTTTACGAGTCTCACAGATGCTTTGCACATGGCTGGCACTTAATAGATAATTGTTTCTTTCTGGTTCTTTGTTTTTTAATGATAACTAAAGCCTCATCTAGAAAAAATTCACATGAACATCATTCAAGACCAGAAATGCTTATTCCATTGACTTCTTGTTTTCATATCAACTTTTTCTTTCTACTCTATATTATAAGACATTGCTATAACACTTGAATTACATATACTCACCCATCTTTGAGAGGCCTTCTTCGTGAAACAAGTACTACCAAGTCTTTGGGTTTGTCATCATTCACCACAGGACAAGTGATGTAATATATCTGATCATCTTCACTTACCCAGTCTATGACTTCACAGGACCTATGTAAATAGAACAGTGACAGAAAGTCTACATTTTACTACCTGGTAGAATAAGGCATTCCTTTCTTTTGTTTGCGTAACTTCATTATTGGTGTCCATATTCACCCTTCTGCTCACATAACCATCCCCCCAAAGCCAGCATCATTTCTTAAAGTCTGTTTTTAGAGTTGTTTGGCCAGAAGGAATAATTCTGCATGTGAGGAAAAGAATGCTGGCCATCTGACTCTAAGGTCACTGCCCTCAACACTGCAGAGAAAGGCACTTTTCTTTTTTCCACAAAATTATTTTTCTCTAGGATCAAGTAATAATATTTTGAAGACTAGTGAATTATATAGACAATCCAACAACTCTGAGGTAAAGGAATATGGTATATTGGGAAAAAGAACTAAGCTTGGAATCAAGCAACTTGCCTTTGAGTCTCAGATTGCTTAGTAGCTATGTTATGTTAGGCAAGTCACTTTTCTTTCATCTATAAAAGGTAGATAATAGTACCTATGGGGTTATTGTGAGGATCAAGTGAAAACACCTGGCACAGTACCTGAATCATGATAGATGCACCAAAATAGTAAGTGGAATTAGAATTCATTCATTCAAGTTCAGTTAGGCTAGAATGTCAGGTGATATAGAGAGTAATGGGAGATACATTTGAAAAAAGCAGCAAGTTTAGGCATTATTCTTGCTAAAATCTTTGTACTTATAGAGTTATCTACAAAGATCTACGCAAGAAAATCGTCGTTTCCTCTTCTCTCCGAATGTTTATTATTGTAACATTAACCAGGATGTATCATTCTGGCATCTATGCAAATGTAACACATGAGCCCAGAGATGTTTCACTTTAATGGTGTTAAATTGTCTATTACATGCTGTTAATCACAGTGAGATTTGGACATTTAAAAGATGAAACTCTACTTCATCCAAATTAGGAAGTAAATGGTAATGCTGAATATAATAGGTATAATCTTACTAATCCTTTCCTTCAAGCAAGGTGTCCATGAGGCCTGAGCCCTGCAGCCCAGGAGCTTGGACTCCTTGAAGAAGGGGGTGTTACCCTGACAGTGCAGTTGACAAGATGCCCAGCTCTGCATTCCAGGAAAGGAGGGAGAGTGGAGAAGATTGGATTAGGGATGTGGGAGACAATGAGTAACAGAAGAGATGCAGGCTGACAGGAGCGGGCCCTGATCAGACATGGAGAGCAGGAAGGAATGTACTCATAGAGCTGCTTCTCCCAGCTTCTCACCAGGGAGTGCTGCTTCACAGAAAAAGAGGGGACTACCAAATAAAGATCAAGAGTGGGAAGTTGGAGGGACTATTTGATAATCACTTCCTCAAGAGCAATGAGACTGTGTATTAAAGTACAAGAGTGTGGAATTCAGAGCCTGACAGACCTGGGTTCCAATTCAGGTTCCATTGCTTTTACTGCCTGTGTAATGTTGGCAAGTCTTGGGATCTCTCTCTTGTTAAATAGGAATAATATCAACTTTGAAGAGTTATTGATAGGAGTACAATAGGTGTGGGTAAAGCATGTCAACTCAATATAGATGAAAAATAGATGATTATAATAATTTTTGTGTCTCTCAGTATAGCACCTGATGCAGTTTTCCATGCAGAGCAAACTTTAGCAAATACTGTTTAATAAAACAATAGGTCATACATTGGGCAATGGAGATACACTGCAATGTAGAGGTCATCTTTTACATGATGTCAGGGTTGAATAAGAAAATATTTAAAATTTATTCTTACATGTAATGGGGGTCCCACAAAGGTCGCTTGGTAAAGTCAGACAAGAGATGATAAGCCAAGTGTGCTGGTCTTTCCACATGCTTTTCAACACAAACAGATAAAATATTGTGCTCTTCCAGAGTATATATTTTTATCTAAAAGAAAATAACAAGAAAAACATTACAAAAGAAAATTAGGTGTTTTTACATTAAAACCACAGCATATATACGTAGTCATAGGCGGATTGCACTAGCTAAGGCATCTTGGCACCTGGGTAATAATGAAGCCAAATGATGGCAAGTTCACTTTAAATACTTGGGTGTCTAGAGCTCAGACCAGGATGCTATGCCCCTGTGTCATCTAAATAATATGTGACTTGAGGGTGGTTTATTATTGTGCAATAGTTTTTCTCATGAAAAATTAAGAACATAAGCCTTTCTTTCTTTATCCCTTTGTGGTATTTCCCTGCCTCTATCCAGGAACAGCAGAAATTATAACCAGACTGCTGGGCAAGTCAGTGCTTCATGTCCCCCTAAGACCTTGGAGCCAAGGCTGCAGCCTAACGTACTTTCTCAGGATGTCAGGCATGCCTTCACGTGGGCTGAGGGAGCCCAGGGAGTAAGTCAACGCCTCTAGAGCCAACTCAGCCTCTCAACAGGGCCGCTGAAGCGTTTCTTCAGCACAAAGAATTCTTTCATTTGTGAATCACAAGAGCTCATCTTTCAAGGCGGCCAATTCCTGGGTTTCTAGTGCTTATTATTCCTTAGATAAGAGGAGGCTTGTCGTGGGGATCCATTTGATGTATACTTAAACATTCATGTATCCCTTGTTACTCTGAACTTTCCTTCTCTGCTTTGGCCAGTAATCAGAGATACATGTTCAGCTAAGAGCATATTTGTATCCTGCCCATTTTCTCCATCTCTTTCAGGGTGCTTTGAAGACAGTGTTGAAATTTGCTATCTTATAATCATTCCCATGGCAACAAGCTGTGAGAAGACAAACAAACACAGGGTTAAGACTTCACTGCAGGAATCAAGCAGATGGAAAAATCAGGCTGTGAGGGAGAAAACCTTTATTTAAACATAAATATCTTTAGGAAGAGAATGAAGAAATGAGAAACTGACTAAAAGCAGCTTAGAAAGGTAAGAAGTGACTATTTGCTTATGCTTTTACCTCTCTAATTGACCTCAGTGCGAAGCCTGTCTTTAAATTGAGCCTGCAAAGGAGGACATGATGTAGGCTGTGGGCACTTATCAAAGAGAAAGAAAACCATGAATGCAGCTGTAGTTGGTGGCTGAGACTCACCCCAGCATAGACATGCCTACCTTTGCCCCCCATACAGCAGAAGTCGAAGCAGGTTCATTGGTGTAAATCCAGAGGGAAGTCACCTTATCAAAGCCTGGTGTCCATGTGGCTCTTAGCCAGCCTGTTGGGGCTCTGCAGTCTCAGAGGAGGCAAGGGCAGGGGGCCAGAGTGAATCCCATCACCTCAGTCAGATTCTGGCCATGGGGCAACCATGGTTAACCTTGGTGGAACCAGGGCGGAGTAGGATGTAACACTGGACTGAGCATTTTTTAAGGGTTGAATTGTGTGTCCCCCGCCCCCCAATTCATATATTAAAGTCCTAACCCCCAGTAGCTCAGAATGTGACCTTATTTGGAAATAGGGTCATTGCAGGTGTAATAAGTTAAGATGAGGTTATACTGCAGTAGAATGGGCCCCTAACCCAATATGACTGGTGTCCTTATAAAAAATGGCAATGTGGACACGTAAACATACACACACGCACACACAGTGGGAGAATCCCATATGAAGGTGAAGGCAGAGGTCAGGTGGTGCATCTACAATCCAAGGAATGCCAAAGATTGCCAGCAAAGCACCGGAAGTTAGGGGAAGACCTGGAATAGATTCTCGCTCACTCCCTCAGAAGGAACCAACACTGCCAACACCTTGATCTCAGACTTCCAGCTTCCAAAACTGCAAGGCACCCAGTTTGTGGTACTCTTAGGGCAGCCCTAGGAAACTATCACAGCACTTTTCCAGGAAGCTGCTCCCCAGGTTGCAGATACATGCTGCTGCTTCCTATCCTGGAACCAAAACAAACTTCACACTAAGTAGCCGTCATTAAATTCTGCCCTTATAAAACTCACTTGACTTATCCAGTGCCAAGTGCAGTATTGGATGAGTGGATGATATTTTGATCCTTTCCGCAAAGTTAAAAGTAGCAGACAATCAGAGTTAATGACATTGATGCAGACACAGCAGACAAGGAAAGGCAGCGGTTGTTGTTGGTTCTCTTTAAACCGTACTATTTTAGGAAAGCCAACTTTGGCTTAGTGTAAAAATTCTCCAAGACCAACTCTCCAAGAAAACGAGTTCCCTTTCATGCTTGGAAGAAGACAGGTTAAATTCCATTTATCATCTCAAATGTTTTATGATTTGGTGCCTGGAGAATTTTAGTCTATGAAATGAAGCTTATAGTAGGCCCAAAATCTGCTGGAGCTTGTTAACATTTTACTAATGATATATTTTTTTCATTCTAATAAGATTCTGTTTAATGGGTTTGGATCTTATACAAATAGCACAAGAGGAAATAACTCAAAGTTTTAGAATTTTATACTATCTGTTGACAAATATGTTATTGATACTATATTGCGGAAAGGAGGACAGAATTCGTTTTTACAGAGTCATGGGGACAGGGGTAGAGTCCTTGGAGGTAGGTTACCCCCTGGGCTAAGGGGAGGAGACATGATCAGGTGGAGCCCTGGGACCAGCCCCAGCTTCAATGAGAATAGCTCTTCTTTGGTCTGTTTCCTGTGGATTTTGTCCTGTGTGAAGGTTTTCACATGATCCTTGCCATTCTGGCTTCCAGTACACTCTCAGCTACTCCCTAAATAAAAAGCTACTCCTGTCAGGTCAATCTCTTACCCATGCCGATTCCAACCAGGAGGGTTTGGCTCAAAGCTACTCACTGCTTAGAAAGCACCCTTTACCCCTCCAGCAATTTACCCTTACACTACCTTCAAGGAGGAAAGAATCAACTCCTCTCCAAAGTTGTCTCTAAACAACTGTCTTCCCTGACTTTGAATTGCCTAAGAGCTGACCTTTGCGGTTTAAATACTACAATCTCTCACTTGTTTATAAACTACCTTAAAATTATCCTTCAGCTATGATATGTATGTATGTGATGCTTTCAAAATAGACTATAAGCTCCTTTAAGATGGGGGTTCATCTTTTGCTCCTTGTATTACTGGTATTATTAATTCCAACACTATACATTGAAAATGAAATATGGGTTAAAACAGTAAGTACTGCCCAATTTCGTTACAAATACTAGAAATTTTAGAATTTTGCCATCTATCAAAATTTATATCAAAATGAGTATAGATTTTTATAACCCAAAATAAGTATAATTCTTAACAGACTGTTTTGTTGTAAGAATTTATTCAGCTAAAAGGTGACAGAAAAAAATGTGAGCTGTATTTTTAAATTAAAAGCATATAATGGTGAAGGTGGTTAAAAAAACCACATAAAAGCTTTAAAAAGTGGGAGAGAAAAGGGGGATGACTCAGAAAGAAAAAATGAGATTTTTATTATAAATACAATCTAAAAAAAAAGGAGGGCTTCAAATTCAACAGAGATAACATAAGAATGTTTAATTATACAGTGTTCTCTAATAAGTATCTGTACAAAACTTAAGAATTAATTATTGATGGCTCTCCTTAGACACTAGCAAATATACGTTTATTTGTTTAGATTGGTTTCTGGCACCAAACTCTTTAAGAATTGAAATTTTAATGACTTCACTAAATATGTTCTCGTCCTTCATTCCAGACATGAGTTTGTCCTTTGCTATGCTGCTCATGAATGCTCGGATGCCAGCAATGATGCAAGAAACAGATTTCATATTAGTAAAAGAAAACAGTCTTGAAGCAGCTTTTATGAGGGATAAAGAGAAGCAAGTAACTTAGTTATGTTAAACCTGTATTTCTGCATCACTGAACCAAACACACAGATGGAAACCTAACTGGATCCAAAGAAGGTAAGGAAGACCCTGAAAGGATTCAGAACTGAGCACCAAGACATAATAAAAGCAAACAACCAAAGCCAAAACACGCAGAGGAGGTCAAAGTCAGAGCTGAAAACAATAAGTGAAGTAACTGAATTTGCTTTGATTTCAGGGTAAGTGACCATATAACTTATTATCCAAAGTGGAACACTTAGGCACTGTTAATAATTATGATGGGAAAACCAGGACTGTCCCAGGAAAACCAGAACATATGGTAATCATATTTTAGAGGCTACTGTTTCATTGATGATGAAAAACAGTACACACTGAAATGTGAGCATAGACAAAATGTCAGCATTATTGAGCATCTCCTGAATGCCAGGCAGTGCTGTGTTCTGGGACTATAGTCATGAACAAAATGGTCCTTAAAGAGCTTATAATCTGTTTAGTGTAGACATCAGCCTCAAAGGGTCTCCTGATATACCTTTGAAATTAGATAAAATTAAAATCCAAATGATATACATTAATTTAAATTTGATGACATGCAAAACATTGTAAAAGGTGCTGAGAAGAAAGATGTCAAGACAAGCCTTCTTTCTTAAGATGTTTATAATTAGGGAAAAAGACCATATGTAAAAAGTTAAATTACTATGAAAGACAAATACTAACTCAACATAGCTGTGGGAGAAATGTCATGAGATAATGCATAATTAATTGACAAGTTAATCATAAAGAAGTAATTGTTAAAGGAATTCCTAGAGGGATAAGTTCCTTCAGTCAGGGGTGATTGGCTTTATGGAAAAGCATTTGTCCTGGGTCATGAAGACCAGGTAGGACTGGGGTAGATAGGAGAAGGAGAGAGAGGTGGAACATGAGAACTAAGCTCAGAGGTAGGAATGTGTAGGGCGATTTGAAGGACCCTAGATCAGCCAGTGTGGAGGAGCAGAGACAGGGCTGGAAAGATACTTGACTCTTAAAAAAATTTCCCTCAAAGATTTTTTTACCTTTTAAAAAATCGAAATACAGTTTATTTACAATATTATATTAGTTTCAGGTGTATAACATAGTGATTTAATATTTTTATAGCTTATACTCCTATATATATGAATATATATGTGACTATATATGAATCTATGTAGATGTACATATCTATATTTATACATTAGATATATACCCAGTAGTAGAATTGCTGGATCATATGGTTCTGTTTTTAGTTTTTTGAGGTACCTCCATACTGTTTTCCAAGTGGCTGTACCAGTCTACATTCCCACAAACAGTGTACTAGCGTCCCCTTTTCTCCATTTCTTCACCAATATTTGTTATTTGTGGTCTTTTTGTTGATAGCCATTCTGACAGGTGTAAGGTGATACCTCACTGTGGTTTTAATTTGTATTTCTCTGATGATTAGGACTGTTGAGCATCTTTTCATGTGCCTGTTAGCCATCTGTATGTCTTTGGAAAAATATCTATTCAGGTCTTCGGTCCATTTTTTAATCAGGTTGTTTATTTTTTTTGATATTGAGTTGTATGAGCTGTTTATATGTATGAGCTGTTTATATGGCCCCTTATTGGTCATTTGCAAATATTTTCTTCCATTCAGCAGGTGTTGATGGTTTCCCTTGCTGTGCAAAAGCTTTTAGCTTCAAAGCTAAATGCTCTGGGGGCTTCTCCTCCCGATGCCAGACCCCCAGACTGGGGAGCCTGACATGGGGCTCAGAACTCTCACTCCTGTGGCAGAACCTCTGCGATATAATTATTTTCCAGTTTGTGGGTCGCCTACCTGCTGAGCATGGAATTTGATTGTATTGCAAATGCACCCCTACTACCGTCTCATTGTGGCTACTTTGTCTTTGGATGTAGAATATCTTTTTTGGTAGGTTCCAGTCTTTTTTGTCGATGGTTGTTCAGCAGTTGTTATTTTGGTGTTTTCATGAGAGGAGGTGAGCTCAAGTCCTTCTGCTTCACTATCTTGTCTTCCTCTCCTTTATCGTTATATAATGCCCTTCCTTGTCTTTTGTTATAGACTTTGTTTTAAAGTCTATTTTGTCTAATATGATTATTGCTACCCCTGCCTTCTTGCTGTTTCTGTTTGTATAAAATCTTTTTCCATTCCCTCATTTTTGGTCTGTGTGTGTGTTTAGCTCTGAAGTCAGTCTCTTGTAGGCAGCATATAGAAGGGTCTTGTTTTTTATCCAGTCAACCACCCTGTGTCTTTTGATTAGAGCATTTAGCCCATTGACGTTTAAAGTAATTATTGATATTATTGCCATCTTATTACTTGTTTTCCAGTGTTTTTGGTAGTTCTTCTTGTTTATTTCTTTTTGTTTGTTTGTTTCTTCCCTTGTGGTTTGATTATTTTCTTTAGTAGTATGCTTGAGTTCCTTTCTTTTTGTTTTTTTGCATCTATTTAAGTTTCTGATTTGGGGTTACCATGGTGTTCATATATGTTGTCATGTAACTATATGCTTGTTTCAAACTGACAGTCCTTTAAGTTCAAACACATTCTAAAAGATCTACATTTTTTTCTCTCCTCCCTCACATTTTATGATTTTGATCCCTTAACTGTTTATTGTAGTTATATTTTATTTTATTTATAGTTTTTGTCTTTTAATATTTATACTAGCTTATTTAAATGGTTGATCCACAGCCTTTACTACTGGGGTTTTTCCTTTCCTATGACTTCTTACTTCTTGTTGTAGCCTTTTCTTTTCCACTTAGGGAAGACTTTAACATTTATTTTAGGGTTGGTTTAGTACTGATGAACTCCTTTATTTTTTGCTTGTCTGAGAAGTTCTTTAGCATTCCTTCAACTCTAGATGATAATCTTGCTGGGTAGAGTATCCTAGGTTGTAGGTTTTTCCCTTTCAACACTTTAAATATATTATGCCAGTCCCTTCTTTCTTGTAAAGTTTCTGCAGAAAAATCAGCTGATAGCCTATTGGGGACTGGGTGTCTTGTCCTTGTATGTGTCTCTGTTTTTTCTCTTGCTGCCTTTAGAATTCTCTCTTTTTCTTTAACTTTTGCCATTTTAATTATGATATGTCTTGATGTGGGTCTCTCTGTGCTTCCTGTACTTGAATATCTGTTTCCTTTTTCAGGTTCAGGAAGTTTTCAATCATAACTTTTCCAAATACATTTTTGACCACTTTCTCTCTTCTCCTTCTGGGACCCCTATAATATGAATGTTAGTATGCTTGATGTTGTCCCAGAGGTCCCTTAAACAAACTAGTTTTATTTTTTTTAATTTATTTTTCTTTTTGCTGTTCTGATTGGGTGATTTCCATTATTCTATCTTCCATGTTACTTATGTGTTCTTTATTACCTAGTCTGCTTTTAAATCCTTCTAGTGTGTTTTTCATTTCCATTATTGTATTTTTCAGCTCTGACTGGTTCTTTTTTTTTTTTTTAATTGGAGTATAGTTGATTAACAATGTTGTGTTAGTTTCAGGTACACAGTAAAGTGATTCAGTTATATATATACATATGTCCATTCTTTTTCAGATTCTTTTCCCATATAGGTTATTTCAGAATACTGAGTAGAGTTCCCTGTGCTATACAGTAGGTCCTTGTTGATAATCTCTTTTATATATAGTAGTGTGTATATGTTAATTTCTGACTCCTAATTTATCCCTGACTTGTTCTTTTTTTAATATTTTCTAGTTCCTTGTTAAAATTCTCACTGTGTTCATCTATTCTTTTCCCTAGTTCAGTTAGTATTTCTTATTACTAATGCTTTGAGCTCTTTATCTGGTAAATTATTTATCTCTGTTTCATTAGTTGTTTTATCAGGGTTTTTTGTTCTTTCATTTAAAACAAATTCCTCTGTTTTCTCATTTTGCTTAACTTTCTCTGTCTCTATGAAATTAGGTGAAACAGCTACTTATCCTGGTCTTGAAGGGTAACCTTGTGTGGGAACGTCCATATGCAGTCCATATCTGCCCTGTGGCTTTGGTGGGAGAGCTGGATCTGACGTGAGCATGAGTCACATCTTCCCCCAGGGTGTGCTGGCAGCTATCACCTTGGTGGGAGCGGGGAGCTGGATATGGAGGGGCTAAAGCCAGAGCTAGCTGTGAGCTAGGGCTTCTCCTATGCTTAGTGGCCATTACTGCCCTACTGGGGGCAGTGAGGGGTCCCAAGGTGCTGGCGCAGAAGCCCTGAGGGTTGGGTCCAAGCTAGTTCTGTTCCATCTAAGTGTGTGCTCTCCCCTATTCCAGCAGTGGCACCATCACCACAGAGGGGAGGAGTGCTGGAGCAAGAAGGCCCAGAGTGGGTACCCGGTGTAGGCTGGGATATGTGCTAGGCAGTCTTGGCACACCAGTCAGAGCTCCAGACTGCTCGTGATCCACCACCTTCACGAGCACCAGTAATGGCCACCCTTGCCCTGTTTAGATGCAGTGCCTGGTCTGAGCTGGCTCCGTTTCCGCCAGCTGTGCAACCTCCTCAGCAGTGGCAACCTTCACCCTAGTGGGGAGCTGCAGTGGAGCTAGAGGGGCTGGAGTGGATGCTTGGCATGGGCCAGGGTGTACACTGGGGTGGTTGCAGGAAACCAGCCAGAGCCCTGGGAAGTTTCAATCTGCTTCCTTTGCCTGGTTCCCAGGAGTAAGGAAGCATGTGTATGCTCTTTAAGAGCAGAGTCTAGGTTTCTTATAGCCCTCCTGTTAGTCCCACTGGTTTTTAAACAAGCTAAGGGGACTCCTTCTCCCGGTATCAGACCCCAGGGCTGAGGTGTCCTCTCCTAGGGCTGCGGGTCCTGACCTGATTGCTTCTCTTCCCCTCCTACCTGACTCCATGTGGATCTTTCTCTACAGCCTTGTTTGTTGTATAAGAGTCTTTCTGCCACTCTCCAGTTTGTTTTCAGTGTGAATTGCTCCACATGTAGATGTATTTTTGATGTGTTTGTAGTGGGAGGTGAGCTCAGTGTCCTTGTACTCTGCCGTCTTGATCTCCATTTTTTCCTTCTTAAAAGCAGCATTAGAAGTAGCAGAACAACCACTACCATGACAACTTTCATTTGTGATGGGCAGTGGGTTGTGTGTATACCTGGATGCCTCCTACCTTTTCCACAGCACTGGTAACCTCCCAACCACTTTTGGCTGCCAGGCTTTTGAGAGCCTCCACATTGCCATTACTCAAGGATACCTAAAACACAAATATTTGAAATGCTGTGAGTTCA